GGGGCCCGGCTCCGTGGGGTCTCCTTGGAAAGGGGCTCCCGGGAGGGCTTAGGAGGAGGCGACTGAGGACCCCCGAGAATGCATCGTTCAAGGCTTGTCTTTGCCGCTAAGAAGTCAGTAACGTTACTGGGCCTTTACTATCTAAACGGCTCCATTGCCTCGGCTAGTTTTCATAGTAGCCCTGTGCGTAGGTATCATAATTATGCCCTTTTGACATATTAGGCAACTGAGGAAAGGATCACACAGCTAGAGCAAGCCAGGCCTGAAATCCGGAGTCCATCCCAGAGGCCACATCGTGGAGCTAGCTATGTTTTGTCCATGGAATGAAGACGCGTCAATATAAAAACAAATAGTCGTTATCAAGCACTAAACACCGCTTCTGTGCTTAGTCTATTACTTTTTATCCTCACATACTTTCGGTTTTTTTGAGGGGGGGTCTCGCTGTCACCCAGGCTGGAGTACAGTGGCATGATCACAGCTCAGGGCAGCCTCGACCTCCTGGGCTCAAGCTAGCCTCCTTCCTCAGCCTCCTGAGCAGCTGGGACTACAGATGCAGGCCAGCTTTCCATACTTACACTTTTTTTTTTGAGTTGGAATCTCTCTGTTGCCCAGTCTGGAGTGCAAGTGCAGTCTTGGCCTGCCGGGCTCAAGCGATCCTTCAGCCTCAGCCTTCCAAGTACCTGGAACTCCAGACATGTGCCACCACCCCTGGCTAATTTTTTGATTTATTGTAGAGACAAGGTCTCACCAAGTTGTCCAGGCTGGTCTCGAACCCCTGGACTCAGGCAATTCTCTCACCCTCCCAAAGTGCTGGGACCACAGATGTGAGCCACTGCACCTGGCTCCTCACATGCCCTTTTGGTTTTTGTTGTTGTTGTTGTTTTTAACAGGAAGCAAGATTTATTAGTGGAGATGAAAAGCCAGCAGAGTGAAAGTCTTCATGAGTGCAGGGCCCGCCATTTGTCCAGGCAGCCGCGATTGGGAATGTATTTGACCCTACAGCCATCTGGAATGAGCTGGTTCTCAGCCACTAAGTCTTCAAATTCATCTGTGTTAAACTTGCTGAAGCCCCACTTCTTTGAGATGATATGGATCTTCTGGCAGCCAGGGAACTTGAACTTGGCCCTGTGTAGGGCCTCAATCACATGCTCCTTGTTCTGCAGCTTGGTACGGGTTGACATGATGACTTGGCCAGTGTGCACCCTGGCCACAGTGCGCTGGGGCTTCCCAAAGGCACCTCGCGTTCCTGTCTGGAGCCTACGCTGGGGATGAGGCAAGGTCGGACATGAACACGCGCCCCAAAGGGCAGTCGCCGAGGTCCCTTAGAGCAACCTACACAAGAAACAGGCTGTGGACACTACCCAGGAAGCTGCTGTTGGCAGATCACATGTCCTCTTTTTTTCTGAGTTGGAGTCTCACTCTGTCACCCAGACTGGAGGGCAGTGGCACGCTCCCAGCCACCGCAGCCTCGCCCTGCTGGGCTCCGGCGATGCTTTTTGCCTCAGCCTTCCTAGTAGCCAGAACTACAGCCACGGAGCCCAGCCCACATGCCCTTTTAAAAAGTAGGTACTGGGCCGGGCGCGGTGGCTCAGCCTGTAATCCCGTGCTTTGGGAGGCTGAGGTGAGTGGATGGCCTGAGCCCACGGGTTCGAGACCCGCCTGGGCAGCGAGACCTCATCTCGAATAAATCAAAAAATCAGCCGGGTGTGGTAGCGCATGCCTATAATTCCGGCTACTTGGAAGGCTGAGGCGGAAGGATCGCCGGAGCCCAGCAGGTCAACGCTGCGGTGGCCGGGAGCGGCCACTACACTCCAGTCTGGGTGACAGAGTGAGACTCCAACTCAAAAAAGAGAAAAAAAGAAATAAAATGAAAATAAATAAAAGTAGGTACTACTGCGACAGATTTTTGAGAGGGCACCTGTGTGTCTCCAGCCCTTCTTCTCTCCTGAGCCCTAGACCTTCCCCCCTGCTGCTCCCTGACAACCCCACGGGGTTGCCTAACAGGCAGGCTTCCAAGAACCCCTTCCCCTCTGCCCACCCCTCCGCGTCTCAGGCAGAGCTGGGGCGAGCTGGGCCCCTCTCACACTGCGCACCCAACCCCTCAGCACATCCTGTGTTCCACCTTTCAAGTGTAGCAAGAGCCTGGCTGTGTGTGCACTCCTGCAGTCCTCCCTCACTGAGGCAGGAGGATCGCTGGAGCCCAGGAGATGGAGACCCGCCTAGACAACATAGTGGAACCCTATTTTTGCAAAAACTTCTTAAAAATTGAACGGGCGCAGTGGCACACCTGTAATCCCAGGTATCCGGGAGGCTGAGGCAGGAGGATCGTTTGAACCCAGGAGTTTGAGGCTAAAGTGAGCTGCGATCATGCCACTGCACTGCAGCTTGGGTGACAGAACAAAACCTTGTCTCTAAAAAATATATTTTTTTCCTTTCTTTTTTTATTATTATTTTTTAGAATGTTGACAGTTTTCCCTCTCACACTTAGACCTATGATCTCTTTTGAGCTAATTTTTTTTTTTTTTTTTGAGTAGAAGTCTCACTGTGTTACTCAGGCTGGAGTGTAGTTGCACACACATAGACACCACAACCTTGACCTGCTGGGCTCAGGCAATCCTTCTGCCACAGCCTTCCAGTTCCAAGTAGTTGGAACCACAGGTGTGCACCACCACACCCAGCTAATTTTTTTATTTCTTGTAGAGATGAAGTCGCGCCAAGTTGGCCAGGCTGGTCTCAAACCCGTGGGCTCAGGCAATCCTCTCAGCTTGGCCTCTCAAATTGCTGGGATTATAGGCGTGAGCCACCTCACCTGGCCAGTTTTTTCTTTTTTGTAGAGACAAGGGTCTTGCTATGTCACCCAGTCTGGTCTCGAACTCCTGGACTCAAACAATCCTATTTATTCAGCCTCCCAAAGTACTGGGATTACAGGCGTGAGCGACTGCACCCAGTATTTTTCATGTTTTTATACCATGGTATTTATACATGGTATTATTTTTGTCCATTTCAAATACCAGATCGGCATTGCTGGTAGATAGATATAGAATTAACTTAGAATTCACAGGACCTGGTGGCACATGCATGTAGCCCCCTCTACTCAGGCTGAGGTGGAAGAATTGCTTGAGGACAGGAGTTGGAGGCTACAGTATGCCAGGAGTGCACCTGTGAATAGCCACTGCACACCAGCCTGAGCAGCACAGCAAGACCCATCTCTTAAAAACAACAAAAAAGCCGGGCTCAGTGGTTCAGTCTGTAATCCCAGCACTTTGGGAGGCTGAGGTGAGTGGATCGCCTGAGCCCACGGGTTCGAGACCCACCCGGGCAACTTGGCGAGACCTCGTCTCTACAATAAATCAAAAAATCAGCCGGGCATGGTAGCGCACGCCTGTAACTCCGGCTACTTGGAAGGCTGAGGTGGAAGGATCGCCAGAGCCCAGCAGGTCGACGCTGGGGTGGCCGTGAGCATGCCACTGCACTCCAGCCTGGGTGACAGAGTGAGACTCCAATTCAAATAAATAAATAAAAGCAGCCAAAAAAGAATGTTCTTTCCACCTCACTCTGTTCAGCCTGAAGAATATGTCTTGCATCTGGGCCTGCAGACGCCCAAGCCCCAGCCGTGCTGAACAGTTCTGCTCTCCTCAGCGCTCTGCCAGGAACACTCTGCTCTTCAAAGGGCATGCTGACCCACGAACCCTGCTTTAGGCCCCAGTTCAGATCCCTGCCCTTGGGAAGCCCCTCACTGACCGGCCACATGCAGTGTTGTCCAGCTAAGATGTCCGTCCCTCTTCTAGGCAAGGGTCCTGAGGGCAGGGACAGATGACCGTATCTTCAGTGCCCGACTCAGTGCTTTCGTGTAAAGGAAGAACACGGTAAATAGTCATGGTTGAGGCCGGGTGTGGTAGCTCACGCCTGTCATTCTGGCACTTTGGGAGGCAGAGCAAGAGGATGGCCTAAGCCCAGGGGTTCGAGACCAGCCTACGCAACTTGGCCAGACCTAGTCTCTACGATAAATCAAAAAATTAGCCAGGTGGGGCGGCCCACACCTGTAGTTCCAGCTACCTGGATGGAGGAGGTGGAAGGATCACCCGCGTCCAGCAGGTTGAGGCCGCGGTGGCCGTGAATGTGCTACTGCACCAGCCTGGGCAACAGAGTGAGACTCCTATCAAAAAGAAAGTCAAGCTTGGCTGAATGAAGGTGGATGGGTGCCACTTATTCACCCAGCCACTCACTCAAACACCACAGTAGAGCTGGACCCGGGGAGCCCGAGGGTGGGAGAAGGACTCTCGAGGTGACACTGAAGCGCCAAGCATAAGTGGGGCTTGGGGAGGCCGAGGAGGAGGGGTCCCCCAGAGAGGCATGGTCCCGATGGAAATGCGTCAGCACCCGCCCTCCTGAAGCCTTCGGGTCCGTCCGCATGGGCGGTGCACTGTCAGCCTCTGGGCCTGCACTTCCTCCCTCTCCCAGATGCTCAGCTGTGGCCTGGGTCATGTGTCTGTCTCTGACTGCACTGGAAGCCAGATGTCGCTGACCTCTGCCATAAATTTGCCGTGTAACCCAGGCAAGTTATTTCCCGTCCTCGGACGCCGCTTCCTCTTCTGCCAAGTGAAGCGCCTCTCAGGGCTGTTCTGGAGGGCACATGTAGCAAAGCAGTTGGGGTTGCGTACATTGCCTTAGAGCAGATCTGGGTTACAGTTCCAACTACTGGTTGTGTGACCTTGGCCAAGTTTTACTCATTCATTCACTTGGTAATTACTTCAATTAGTGCTGGCTGTCTTCCATATACCAGGCACTCAGACAGCCATGGGAGAAAAAAGACAACCTTCCTGCTTGGGGAGCTCACGTTCTGTTTTGTTTTTAAATCAGGGTCTCGCTCTGTCACCCAGGCTGGAGTACAGTGGCATGCTCCCGGCCACCACAGCCTCGACCTGCTGGGCTCCGGCGATCCTTCCGCCTCCGCCTTCCAAGCACCTGAAACCACAGGTGTGCACCACCATGCCTGGCTAATTTTTTAGAAAATTTATCATAGAGATGAGGTCTCACCAAGTTGCCCAGACCGGTCTCGAACCTCTGGGCTCTGGCAATCTTTTCACCTCCACCCCCCAAAGTGCTGAGATTATAGGCCTGAGTCATTGCACCCGGCCTTATTTTATTTTATTTCACTTTATTTTATTTTATTTATTTATTTTTTGAGTCAGAGTCTCACTCTATCACCAGGCTGGAGTGCAGTGGCCACCGCAGCCTTGACCTGGACTCAAGCAATCCTTCTGTCTCAGCCTTCCAAGTAGCGGAACTACAGACTTGTGCCACCACACCCAGCTAATTTTTTTATTTATTGTAGAGACAAGATCTCGCCAAGTTGCCAAGGCTGTTTTCGAACCACTGGGTTCAGGCCATCCTCTTACCTTGGCCTCCCAAAGTATTGGGATTACAGGTGTGAACCACCATACCCAGCCTTCTATTTTTTTTTTTTTTCCTTTTTTGAGTTGGAGTCTCACT